CTTTTTTTTACTTCACTTATCTCTCTTACATTATGAAATAGCTTTTTCATCTACCATTCTGCAATCCAAGAAAAACTCAACATTCCCTAAAACATTTCTTACTAAATCAATAAAGTTGAACTTGAACTAAAACATTTCTTAGTGCTTTCAATAGTAAGTTACTACTGATGGTAAACTTCTTGTTTTCCATCCCTCAACAAAATGAAAATGGCAATGCAGACATTCACCCCTAAAACAGAGAAGGAATGGCAGGCAGATAATGCACAGAAAACAGGAAATGAATTCTATTTCTATAATTTCCTCTTTATAGGCCATCATAACCTATAACCATAACTTGATTTGAGACTACCAAAAATTGGAACTCAGTGAGCGCAGATTAAAAAAAGGAAAAAGAAATAAAATCCTTGGGAAAGTACAATTTCACCAGCTACAGCATCTAATGGTTTTCCAAGGGTAGTCAGTCCATGTAAGCTATAATTAAAAATGCCTCTGTGCCTTTATAGTTGGTGCATTATGGACCTATTCAAAATAACGTATAAGATAAATACTTCCATCATATTCAGATTGCATTGCTACCTAACACAGAGCTTTAGATTTAAAATATTTCTAATGAATATTATTACTATTATTTATTCCCACTCTGTATAATATATATTTATGTTCTTCACGCTCAGATCAAAAGTGGCTTGCATGCACATACATTTGCATATGTGACTGATTCACTCTTCTGTGTTATTAAACATGTTCTCAAAAATATTACATAATATGGCTTAGTTTTGAAGCATATTCAGTGGACTTTAACTAAGTGACACAGAAGATTTTTAAAAGGCCACTTTTGAACCTTACATATATTATTCTTGATGTTTATCTATATATTATGGTGGGCTTGTGAAAAAGCAAAGACATTTTGGGTGCAAATCCATACAATGATGGAAAAGATATTGCAGATTAATATTACAATGAAACCAGAACTGTTTCTATTGGTTTTATGGACATTGAACTAGAAAATAAATATGGGAGATTAATACTATATATTAAGTATATATACTTAATATATAGGTAACTGCAGCAGGATTAGGCTGCAGCCTATAGGTAACTGCAGCAGGATTATTGCATGCACAAAGATGGAAGAATAGTATAATATCCACAGTAGAAGATTGGATTATAAAATTGAAGGAACTTGTGGAAATGGTGAAGCTGACGATAAAGACCTTTTTGAAAGACTGGAAACTTTACATGGGCTTTTAGTTGAAAGAAGAAAAGACTGAATAAATTATTTACAGATTTGGAACTAAAAAGGGTTAAAAAGGAAAGGGAAGGGAATTACAGAAAAAAGAGGGAGGGCAAACAGTAAGATGGTAACTATTTAATAGAAAGAAGGATGGAAGTCATAATTCTATTTTTTTCCTTATTCTTCCTTTGATTCTTTATACTTTTATTGTATTTTAAAAATCTAATAAAAGGCAAATAATAAAGATATTTGTCTGTATATTTGCCTAAGCCTTCCTTATAATTTTTCTCTTATAAATGTTTTGAAGCTGCATCTTCCAAAATTCCTGTAGGGGTCTTCTAGGAATTCCAGTCCTATACACTGAAGAAGTCTATTCTGATATTTAAGAAAGTTATACGAATTCTAGAGCAATAACCATCCCTCATGACTGACTAACTTGCCAATTTAGTTGGAGAAGGCGATGTACCCATTTCATTAAAATCATGCCATTCCCTAGTCCATCATAATATATCTTCATTCTTCTTGATTTTATATCTTACCTAGCACTTCATTTCTTGAGACATGTAAGTTAACAATCTGCAAACTTGTTGCGGATACAAACTGCTATGTTTATGATACTGTAGCAAATAGACTTTGTATATAATAATAATAACAACAACAGCAACAGCAACAACAACAACTATTTATATCTCCTGGGGGCTTCTGCCATTTTACATACATTATCTTACAAAACCTTAAGGCTGGCCGGAATTGCAGATGAAAAACACAGATTAATCTAAAACTCAATCTAAGGTGAGAACAGGGACTTCATTGGGACAGCTGATTCTCTAATACATCCATTTTGAACCTGGTGTATCCCAGAACTGTAGGGACTGCTATAATTCTCAGTTGATTAAGGTTTATGGAAAGAAGTCCACCACATCTGGAAGGCTCTAAATGTGAGAAGACTGCTTTAACAGAACAGAACAAGGCAAAGTTATTCAGAAGTCAATCCCACTTGTTCATCAGGACTTGTCACCATGTAAGAAAACAGTAATTAATCTGTTACAATCACAATCACAGAGGCAATACCATTTAAGAGCACATGTCTGCCTTCCTTTTCTATTGTTCTGTGCATACAAGCTAGCATTAGTTGACAGGATTAGTAGGTTAAGATTATTTGGGTTGCTAATCATCCAGTTTTTTTTCTTTTTATTTTTTTTTACTCTTGTTATGACATTTTGTTCCAGTTAGAATCAAATTATAGATGTTTGTTCTTACAACCTATATCACTTTTTTATCCTAATCTATTTATAACTTCATTAGTTTACATCATCTGTCATTTCCCAATAACTTTAAGCAGATTGCTTTCCCCTGACTTCAGAGTAGGCTGATTATCTTTATATAACCACCCAAGCAGGATAATGTTTCACAGTAAGTAGCTGTGTCCACAGAAAATTCCATCCATCTGATCATATTAGCATTTTGTTTTGTTTTGCATACCATCTGCAAAGTTAAGATCTAAATCTGAACCTCAGATGATCAATGTTTGAATGCCAGAATATGTTTCAGTGCCAAATCCCTGCTCTGGGACCTGGGAAATAAAAGTAGTAAAATCTAGTTGCAAAGAATGTCAGTAATAACTGAGTCCCTTTGACAACAGTTTGGTTGAAGTTGATCATGATTACCGAATTATACCATTGATAACAGTGGGAGATAGCACAATTAACCTTTCTGGAGTTCAGTCCCTCCATTTAATTACTTTTAGAGCAGAGTTTGTGCCAAGGCATGGTATGCATGTCAGATGGGTTGATATCCAGACAAGCATAAACACCAACAAACTTGGAGGAATTGATATTGTATACTTGAAACATACAAGCAGCATAGTTTTCTTTTCTTTTCCTGGCAATACCGTCTTTGGTAAATTTAAAAGGCAAGCGAAGTGTACTTAGAGGGCTTCTACCTCTCTAGTTATACTATATAGCAGTGCCAGGCTCATGCCCCCACTGCTTCCTTCCTAAGGAATTTCCTCACTCTTGCCCCTTCTGTATGTTCATTTGCTTTCTCCTGCCGGGCCCTATCTATACAACCACATGGAAGGTGGATGCAAGACATGGGAGGAAAGGAACTGTATTTCTTCATGTTCCCATCGTGCTCAGAATAACCATTTGTAAAGACATAGACAGTGGTAAAGAGGAGCAGTAGCATAGCACAGGTACAAGCAGCATCAACAGCTGACAGAAGGACTTCCATGGGATGTAGGCTTCAACAGGTGCCAAAGACACCGACTGTCCTGTTCAAGCACAATAGCTTCTAATTTGTATGACTCATCTTTCGCCTCCATTTTTGTTTAAAACAAATATAAACAACTATTTTGGATATTGTGCTATTCCTTGAATGAGGTCCTGTGAAGGAATTGACACAGCCTAAAAAGTAGTTAGATCACACATTGTCTGGCTAAGCTCTAATAAAGCATTTTGACATGCAAATATTGAGTCCCATGTCCTCATTTGGAGAAGAGTTGTAATCTGAAGCATATATTTAGTATGAAAACATGAGTTGCTTTATTATTTATTTATTTATTTATTTATTTATTGGAGGGTACAGTGTGAGACTGGTCTGTTGGAAGTTTTTGAACAGAACATCTCATTTCCCAGTACAGACACTATACTGTACATACATACATCACTAAGTACACACTTTCCAACATATAACAATTGTCTGTGTATATATGTGTATACTTTTCATTTAATACGTACTCAAAACACAGTGAAATGCTCTTTATGTACACAAAAGATGGGGAATTATTTACATTTGGGCAGAATAAATGTCTGTGCAATGTTTCATTATGGGACTCCTGAACAATCTATAGTTTGTGCTCCTGCCCATAATGGCCAAACTTAATGACTAGGAGGTCTTCTGGGCAAAGCAAACTCAGTTATTTTCATCTTGCTCCCATTTTCACCCATTGCTGCAATAGTTACTCAGCTACAGTATATTTACTTACCAGAAAGGGAGTTGGAAAGGAAATATGCAAGCTGGTAGTAGTGGCTACTTCTACTATTTTCTGTTGTCCTTCACCCAGAGGGAATGGGCAGTGGGAGAGCAAAGGTTATTATGCAGAGCTGTGGTAACAGAAGCTGTCTATCTAGACTAACGTTTTCCATAAGGATCATCCAGTTGCCTTTGAAAGAGAGCAAAACCTGCATCTTGCTGTTACTCTTTGATCCATAACACTGGCATTCAAATGATCCTAGACATCATTGCCATCAGAACTAGGGGACACTGATAGATATTTTTCTTCTTCATGACTTTGTCTAAATAGAATTATATTTCATAACCAGTTGGTAACAGCAGCCATCAGCAGAAAACAAGGGCTTCTTGGTAATGCTCCCCAGCAGAGAAATAGGATGCAGCAAGTGACTAATCATGTCAACTTCAGATGCCAGCCATACCAGAACTCATCTCACCCTAGAAACCTGCTTATGTTGAAATGCACATAGGGAATTTATGCAAGAGAGAGCTAGTTATTGTTTTTGGTGGAAAGAGTTGAATAATTCTTATGTACTTGTAGCCATGTGTTTCAAATCCCTCTCTTAAAATGAAGAATAACCTCACAATTGGAGATTTGGGTATATTCACTGGAACTCAAGCAACTGTCAGACTAATATGCATATTCACAGTCCAGAAAACTGCAATTATATCTAAACACAATAATATGTAGTTTCATAAATATTCTATTTGTTTAATTTGCTTGGAAATACAAAAGTCATGTGACCACAAAACACACCTTCGATCATAGTGTACCCTTCTTCTTTGCAAGAAGGAACAAGTAGGTCTTCACAGCTTTCCTAAAGCCAAGGAGGGGCAAAGCTGACCAAATTCCTGCAGGGAGAAGTTCCAAAGAGAGAGGATGATTACTGAAAAATCTTGCATTCAAGGCCATACTGGGTGACATCTTGTTAAAATGGGACCTAGAAGGAATTGAACGTATTTGATCTGGTTGGATGGGCATATTAATATAGAAGAAGGCAGTCCCTGAAATAACCAGGTCTAGAGGATATGTGGCCTTAAAGGTGACAACCAGCATCTTGGATTGTATCCAGGAGCTGACTTGCATCCAATGTAGCTCCTGAAGCAGTGGGGTCACCTATATATCAGGACATAGTCATTACTGCATGGGCTGCTGCATTCTTTATCAGCTGTAGCTTCCAAATGCATTTCAAGGGCAGCTCCATAAAGAGTGCATCACAGTAAACCAAATGGGAAGTGAATATGAGCAGGGCCTCCCAGTCACAACTAGTGCATAAGCTGTAGCTGTGCGAAAGCCCTCTTTCAGCAGGATATGTGAATCTAGGAGAATCCAAATTTTGAACCACCTCTGGACAGGAGCACAACCCATTCAGAATCAAGGATGGTATCAGGTCCACAAACCAAAGTCATAGTCTTTTTGACCCCATGCAGACCCTGACCGCCTCCAGGCACTGGGTCAGTACTTTCACATCATTCAGCATGGATAACTGAGTATCATCCAAATATTGATGTTATTGAAACTTGTGCCAATGAATGGTCATCCCCACAGTTTGATACAAAAGAAGTGGAGAGAGAAGGGAGCCCCAAGGCACTGTACAAAGTAGAGGTCTCTGCCCAGAGAACCACTGCCCCCCCCCCCACCTTCA